AGAGACAGTGGCAAGAGGAAAGCTGTTTTCTTTCTGTAAACGTGACGACTTTGTAAGGCTAAGCCTGAGTGACAGAGAGCAGAGTCGCAGACGGGCAGAAGATCTTCAGAACAAAGAGAGACCATGAGAAGAAGCGATAAGGAGCAAAAACCTGATTAAAATATAAGAGGGTGTATGCAAATGTAGATATGGAGGCACGCTGTGAAAAGGCATTGCCTTAACATTTGAACGCTGACATGCATATATCTAATTCAAGTTTGTACCAAACTTTAAGTTGACGACAGCTTTTTGACTGATAGCGAAACTGCAGAGCTGTAAGCCTGTTGGTGATTTTCCCAGGCTTTTCTTCACACATGTATGAAAACGTTATCACTTCAGGCGAGTGTATGTTCATGTAAACCATGAAGATGTTTCTTTTCTGTGACTGACAGAACAGGATAGATTAAACAGTCATTCTGAGATATTACAGAGACTTCGATATCCATCTGTTATACATCCATTTGTGGATACCGTGGAAGACCAGAGCAGTTCTTTCACTCCAAATGAGATATCAGCAGGTCCATCATGCCTGCAGTCATAATGATAGAAGTTAAGATCTGATTTCTCTCATTTTCGGAGGTGTCAGGCTGAGAAACCTGCATGAAATCCTTCTTAAACCTTTGTAAAACACCTAATTAGTCTTAGTTTTAATGAAGCATTTATCCAAATTCGTTTTCACCCCAGGAAGAAGTCTGTGGCAAACAATTAAGAACTTTATAGTTTTACCAGCCAGGATATTTTTCCCTTATTTTCAATACTGAGGGAAAAATCTGCCAGTGATATACTGAATTAAAATTCTGTATTATAGCTCCTGCAGAGCGACAGTTCAAACTCAGAAAAGTCTCCAAAGAATGCTGTTATATGAGTATCATCCTCCTGTGTGACCTTGTATTTCTGTAAAAAAGGAAGAAGTCAACAGTTCCAGACTGTGTCTCCTGGAAAAGCAGCGGCAGCAATGCAATGTTATTCTTTGCCCTTCAAAGAAGATGCAGCAAAACTCTTAAAATGCTATTACTCCTCTCCAAAACTCATCTCTCCTCTCGCTGTTCAGATCCATGTCAAGTGCTACTTCACCAGGCAACCAATGCCAACAAACTCTTTAAAATCACTGCCAAGAAAGACCTGTTTCTCTTCAGGCCGTTTACTATCCAAAATGTCAGCCAACGTCATTAAACTAGAGGACACTTGATGGAAAATGAAACAGCCAGAGATGCTTTTGTCAGGCGGGAGAACACTAGCATTAGTTTTTTTTTTTTCAGAGAAGGAAACAGCAGGTTCCAAAAGAAAAAAACAACTTTAATGAACTAATAAAAAATGAAATAAAACTGAAGTTGTTGCTGCGTTTGTTTCCAAACAGACACTGGGAGGCATGTCTAAATAACCGAGTCAGGCTGACCTATCAGCTTTGTGGAAACAGGATTAGACTGACTAAATTCTTATTGCTCATAAGTGATGTCAGAGACAAAAGAAGCAAGAGTCACTGAGAATTAAAGTCTTTATAATAGGTTTAAAATCTTATTTTGGGGCAAATGCAATTTTTTTTTAAACATTTTTATTAGATTTGACTGGCCATTCAATGCAAGTCCTTCAAATAACTACAGCATGTTGACATGAGTCTACAAACTCTACCAGTGCATGAGCTGAATGACTTTGGTTTGTTCATGCAGAACATTTTCTACTTTTTGAGTAACTTTTATTTTTAAAAAAATTTAAGAAAAGGGTGGCATACAAGAGAAAACACACACATCTATAAATGATTACTGGGCATGTGTCATGGTTCAGGGTCGTTGATGATTGCTTCATGTGTTCTTCTTTTGTGTCATTCATTTTTTCCCTGGTTGCCTTTACGTTTAATTCCTCCCTCGGTGTATTAAGTTGATTCATGTGTTTTCCCCATGTAGTTATCTCACGTCTTACTTTATTTTTTGATTTAGTGTTCCTTGTTCTTTTTTGTTAGTTTTGTTTTCCTTGTCTCGTCTTGTTTTCCCCAGGTGGTCTCCATTTCCCTGATTGCCATTCTGTGTGTGTATATAGTTGATGTTTCCCTTTATTCTTCGGCTACGTCCACACGTACCCGGGTATTTTTGAAAACGCAGATTTTTCTATGCGTTTGCACCTTTCGTCCACACATAAACGGCGTTTTCGGTCACTAAAAGCGGAAATTTCTAAAAACGCCTGCCAGGGGGGATATTTTCAAAAACTCCGTTTTTGCATTTACGTGTGGACGAGAAAAACGGAGAAAACGCAGAAAACGCAGCGTCAAAGGTGTGCGCATTTTTTGACGTCACAGTGTGCGCCACGTTATTGTTTCGGTGAAATGAATTTCTACAATACTGTTATTGTTACTTGTACTCTCTGCAGTGTTTAAATGCTTACATATACACACACAGTTACTGTCCCTCCACACATACGACTC